CAGGCCCCCCCCGCCACGGCCCGTCCCCGCAGCCCCCTGCAGCCCCTGAGGAGCCGGGTGGCCTCGTCCCCAGCGCCAGCCTCCTGCAGGTCACCGAGCGCAGGCGTGAGTGTGGCCCAGCAGTGTCCCTGCCTCTCCCTGGGAGTCCCCTGCCAGCCCCTGGGGGTCCCCTGCCAGTCCCCAAGGTTCCCTAGGGTCCCTTGCCTGTCCCTGGCAGCTCCTAGCAACCCCCTCGGTCCCCCAGTGGTCCTTTGCCTGTCCCCTGGTGTCCCCTACCAGCCCCTGGGGTCCCTGCCAGTCCCCAGGATCCCTGTGGTTCCCTGCCAGTCCCTGGAGTCCCCTGCCAGCCCCCAGGCTCCCTACCTGTCCCTAGTGTCCCCTGTCTGTCCCCAGGGATCCCCCCACCAGCCCCCAACTGGCCCTGGCCCTGCCATCCCCTCATCTCTCCCCCTGCTACTGCCATCCCATCCCAGTGTCCTCCATCCAGTCCCCAGCTCCCCTGTGTCCCTCGGCCCCCTCCCCCGGCCCCCCGTGGCCCCCCAGAGCCCCTGAGCAGTGTCTCCTCGCTGGAGGTGCACTTCGACCTGCTGGACCTGACGGAGCTGACGGACATGTCGGACCAGGAGCTGGCTGAGGGCTTCGCTGACTCTGATGAAGAGAACGTGGCCGGAGAGGGTCCTGGTGGTGAGGCCGTGGGGACAGACCTCCCTCCCTCTGTCTGTCTGTCTGTCTGTCTGTCCAGGAGAAGGCCCCAAGCTGTCTGCCCATCCCCAGTCTGTCCCCAGTCTGTCCCTCCGTCCATCCACCCACCCAGGAGCAAGCCCTGAGCCCTCTGTCTGTCCCCAGTCTATTTGTCCAGGAGGAGGCTCCGAGCTGTCACTCTGTCCCTGGTCTGTCCATCCATCCAGAAGCAGGCCCCAAGCCCTCTGTCTGCAGTCTGTCCATCTGTCTGCCCATCTGGAGGCAGGCCTCAGCTGTCTGTCTGTCTCTGGTCTGTCTAGCTGTCTGTCTGGGAGCAGGCCCCGAGCCCTCTGTCCATCCATGGTCCGTCTGTCAGCCGGGCCGTCTGTCCTCAATCTGTCTGTCTGCCACCATGCCCCAGGCCCTCTGTCTGTCCTGTCAGTCCCAAAACAGGCCCTGAGGCCTGTGTCCGTCCCGTCTGTCCCTCTGTCCATCCATCAGCCCCTCTCTCCCTCCCACAGGGCTGCAGCCAGCACCGCGGGCCGGTTACCTCCGCTCTCCCTCCTGGACCCGGACACGGGAACAAGGCCGGGACAAGAAACACCTCAACGATCCACCGCTGCCACCAGCACCCCCAGACCCCCCCTTCCTGCCCCCTGAGCGCCCACGGGACCCCTAGAGCC